AATGAACTTGATACAAGAAGTCTTAATTTGGACTTGGACAATTCATACTCAAATTCAAAAGACTCGGATCGCAGAAGAGATAGAACTTGTACTCGAACAACAATAATGGACTTATGAACATGAATTGGACTTATGGATTTGTTCTTGAATGAACTAAATGGAGAACTCATCTTGCACTCAAACGAAATTTAATCAAATAATATCAACTTAATTAAGATGAGTAAATAACAAGGAACTTGGATCCAAAATGAGCAAGGCTCTAAATAAATTTGAACATGAAATGTATTTGGCATGAGCCTTGGCCCACATTTGATTTGGACTACGAAAGACTTTAGCTCAAACTTGAACACTAACTTGAGACTTGTGAACTTGGTTTGAACCAAGTGAGAAGAACTTGAATATGACAATAGGGAATTATGACAAGAAGTCTTCATACATAAGTGACATACAAGCAAATGTGCCAGCTCCTTACATATATTGAGAATCAATGAGAATGAGCGGATGTGGAACTCATGGTGAACAAGAATTCAATCATCATTTGGTTGCAAGTAATCAAACAAAAATGAAGGATATGTGGTCTACTTGCAAGCATTGATCAATAGAAACCAAAGAGAATACAACAACTAGTCAGCATCCAAATTTTACAAGCAATAAAAAAAATCCAAGGAGATATATAATTTGATCGCAATTAAAGGAGCAAAGGTCTTTAGCAAATATATCACCTACAAACGATGCATCCGATTTGCGACATTCGCATGAACTCTGCAAGCAAGGATATCAATCCCCAATGTATACTAAAAGCCAAGGCGCAAGTGAATATAGCAATTTACTAATCAATGACAATTGATATAATAGTTCACTGATCAGTTTGTATGGGAGGATCGGTGAAGAGTGCAACGACACCTTGCATTCAAAGTCAAAATACAGGAAAATACATTCATCTGCAAGTACTGACAAAAGCTTGTAGTATCTTGAAGATACAAGTAGGAATTGTTGCGAGGATTAAAAAAGATATAAGCAAGTACACAAAACCTCCGCAGACAAGGATAGAAAGATCTGCAACACATACAAGCTCTCTACAAAGACAGATGTATGTGCCACATGTCACTTATGGGCAGATGTAGAAAGACTTCAGTAAATGCAGTATCCTGAAGTCAATTCCAGTCTGTGAAGGAATACATCTACCTGCCTACTAGTGGTAGTGGTGGATGTACTATATGAATCAAAGGCCACAACAAAATGCATAAAGAATGTAGCAAATGCAAGTTCCTACAAGCTTTTGTAAGAGACCCGCTATAAACATTAAGTGACATCTACGAGCAAATACATAAGGCTTTCAACAAATACAAGCTCCTACGGGTAAAAGCAGGAGATTAGTTAGTGCACTACAATCTACCTGCGTAAATCATGCAAGTAGTGCACGACAATGTACCTGTGCAATGCAGTATACAACTCTATTCAGAAGCTGCTACGCCACGCCACCAGATCTGCAACACTCATAAGAGCAGACAGAAGGTGTCTATAATCTACAACGCTATGCCACCGGATCTGCAACACTCATACAAGCAGACAGAAGGCGTCTACAAATACTTTCAAAATACTCATGCACGTGTACCATAAATTGTATACACATAGGTACACTAAAAAGGTACATAAAAATATCCCGCATGGGTCCCGACGAGCGTGTCATTGGTACACACGTGACGTCTAGGAATGCTGCGCAGGTCGAAAAGTGAATTCTAGTTCGAACCTGATCCTTCTATACGGATTAATAGGAGTCGATAGGGTTCGAACAATGAAACAAATACATGGTTGTGGGGACCGATGTATTTATTTCAACACATTCATATTAGGCATTCGAGGCCTACAATTAAAAGAATTCACTAAACAAAGGCACGTAGCCTATGAAACCCGATCCTCTCTCGATAGCTAGACAGAGTTGACAAATGTTAACCTCTGTATAAATCATACAAAAGAGGAGATGAGCCAAAATCCAGCATACATACCTTACACCCGTTGAGACCCCGAAATCTCGCTGAATTCGGCGCCGCGTGCGTCTCTTCTCCGCGAATCCTGCCCAAATCCCGCAATCGCCTCGATCGAAAGCCCAAATGCGTCGTTAAATACCAGAGCAAAGGGAGTCTTCGGGGCTGCTCTTCTCTTCCCAAATCCACGAGCTCTGCCCCTAAACACCCCGATGATGGCTGTGTTGAATGTTTATCTCAACCGGAGGGGTTAATTCCAAATATTTCAAATTCGACTCAAATACCTACGAAATTCAAAGCTCCATTTAATCCAAAGCTCCACTCAAATACCCACAAAAACCCAAAATCCGAAAAAAATCTCAAAATCCAAAAAATATTTAAAATTTGAAATCCAATCCTCAAATGCTTGAAGCAAAATCCATCCGCCCTCCGCAACAGTTTATCGGGGTGGATAAGTTGAAAATTACTTAAGCTCAATAGAGCCAAATGCCTAGTCGAAAATATTACTATGATCCATTCTCAAACAATCTCCTGCCAATAAGGACGTGGTACTTGTCCTCTAACTGGCGGTTTGCTGCCAAATGGCACCGCAGGATAAACGGTTATGACCCGAGGCCCTCTGAACCGAGTGATTTTTCCGCCAAATGGCACCACAGATAGCGATTATGGCCAGAGCAAATACGTTCCTTAGTGGCATCAAATCCTTGAGATATGAATCAATAGGTATGATCGATAGGGCACAAAGGCCTCTGTTAGCTAAGGTGGATTCAAATTTGTCCCCTTAGGCAAATATCCAACCCAGGTCTACAAGGTCCCCTTGGATGAAGAAACCCATGGCTGCCGACAAGGATCCTTCTATCAGGTTGGGTCGACTACCTCCTCTGACTAAGTAGACTAGGGACCACGATGGCCCGGGATGACGGAACCATGGGATCTTGATCGGGTCCATCATCCATTTCCCCACCATCCGTTTTAAGTGAAAGATGGTGAAATCTCTATTTTAAATATCAAATCTTCCAATCTTCCAAATTCTCAAATTTTCCAACATTCAATACCCAAACCCATGCTGCTACTATATGCTAGATAACACATATTATATACGTATCTGATTGACGACTAGCCTTAATCGAAAGTTAATTATCTCTAGTGATTGGGAGGGGTAATTAACTATAAGGGCTTGCGCCTATAGGAAACTAGAACTCAGATCATAAATTCCTCACAAAATGAGGGCGAAATCTCTGGGTAGTGTCTTATCTACAAACCCATCTGCCTTCCAAAATTTACCTCAGAACTTATTCAGTTAAAACTCCCTCACCAAATAAAAAGAAAAGCGGGCGGAGGCCGGAGCCGAATTTTTGGAGCCCACAGTGTCATATTGGTCGGATGAGATGTGATATACAAGTAATTTCAATATATCATACTGACTTGGAAAAGGACTACGAAAGGTGAAGGGACGCAGGTCATCATCAAAAAATTTTTTTTTTTAATTTGATGATCGATAGAAATCAATCTTATAAGGATACATAGAGAGGAAATCCACTCACTCACACACACACATACACAAAAAGCCACTTATGTAATGTAGACAAAGGGGGGTCAACACTAGTCCAAAATAAATCAAATTTTGGCTTCCCTTGAGTCTATTAGTTTAACATATTTGAGCTGAACTTTTAGTTCATTTATGAGCTGGACTTTAGTTCATTTATTGAACTAAGGGTTAGCTCATTATGAGCTAACATTTTAGTTTATTTATTATCTTTTAATTAAATGTCTTTTATGCTTTTTATGTTAGTATTTATGTTTGTCTCTTGGAATTCCAAACCGGCCTTTGGAATTCCAAGATTTTCTTTTCCCCATGAGGTGGCCCTTTGGTTTCCTCCTTGGCTTTTCGTATTTTGCATTTTGCCCCATGGAATTCCGGCTGGCCGCTAGTTTTCCCGTGCCTGGGCTCTTTCCCGAGGCCATGGCCCCTTGGCACCCGCGCGGCCTCCTTGGCTCCCGCGGTGGCTGTTTCGGTTCCTGGTTTGGGGCTGAATTCCGTGAGCAAGGGGGGGAGGATTTCTATGTTTTAAAGTTGTGATGCTTAGGTTCTTGTGTCAAGTTAATGTAAGGTGTCTTTTCATATTCTCATACCTATAAATATGAGATGTATTGTAATGTTTTGAGAGTGAATGTTATGTGATGTGATTTTTGGAAATGTGAACCTGCGGGTTTCATTGGAAAAGCTTGCGATCTTTGTCCGTCTTCTTTCTTATCCCCTCCGGAAATCTTGCGAGCTCTTTCCAACCTTTCGTCTTGACTTCTAACCTATTTCGTCTCTCCGCAAGTTTACACCCCACCTGTATCCCTCTTCTCAAAGTAAAGCAACTTTAGGGTGTCTTGTTTGAGTCAAAGTTTGTAAGTCTTTCATTTTTTTAATATTAAAGTTTGTTTAAGCATTTTATGTCTTTAATTTGTATCTAGGAAGGTTGTTCTTTTTGTGATAAAAAAATATTGGATCCCCTATATTTTTTGATTGTATCATTATGTTAAACTAACTATTTGAGCCTAAAGAAAGTTGTAGTGGACTGATTCCAAAACTAAGGGGTAAAAAACTAATAAAAAAACTACATTCAATCTCAAATGAAAACATTCAGAAAAAAAACCACCCATGATGATGGAAGATCAAAAGAACTAAGAAAACTAAGAAGAAGGAAGAACTTTATGCAATTTTACTAGCATGAAATGACTAAATCCAATGAAAAGAACAATGATTAAAAATGAACAAGTGAAATATCAAAAAGTGCTATAATCAAATCTAAAAGGTTTAAATAGTCAGAAATATAACCGGGTGCTTCAAATAAATAAATATTATAACGATTTGGGAAAAAATATACCATAATGATTAAATCAAAAGAACAAGCAGATGTTAAATAATCAACTCTAGAAATTAATACTTATCTATGGTAAGACAAAAAAGAATGATTTCCCAAATAAAAGGAGAATGTTCAAGAAGTGTGGAAGCCAGACAAGCACCTGAATTTTTTCAGTTCCTGCATTACAATAAACAAAAGAAACCCTTGTGTCGGAAGCATTCAGAACCTTTGGTTGATCGTCAATATTGAACTTAATGAGCACGTCTCTACCAAGCCTGTTTGTGAATGTCATAAACGGACACACCAAAATAACCTGAAAGACAGCCAAAAGTTGAGAAGGATGATTTCTAAGAACCTGGCAAGAAAATTAGTGCGATACATACCTTTGTAGGAATAGACTCATATGGGGATGGCTTTGAGGAAATAAATAGCCTCATACACTTTCCGTCATTGCTATAAGCATAAAGATCAATAGAACCACCCTAAAATAAAATAACAAATGGCATGAAAATTCTGAAAATGATCAGCTTTACATAATGAGGTACCATACAAAACATTTACCATGTCACCAAGGGGAGATAGATCTCTAACAGGACTGAACTGCTCTATGCCAGGTTTTTCTAAAGATACAGATATACCCAAATCTTTGAAGTTAAGTGCAGAAGCTATGGTGTATCCATTAGTCATCTCCTCATCAGTGATTTGCCAAAGAACTTTTTGAGTTTTCATATTAGAATGTGGTAAGATAGAAAAGTTTCTCTTATTCGTTTTTGCAGATTTGTCCATAAAGTAACAAGTAAGTGGCGGACATCTTGCACTTGCAATCCAAAAAGGTACATATATTCGAATTGTTCTTGCAATTAAACTGTCCTTGTCTATATTTTGTTCAATGATAACCATGTCAACCCTGCATAATGGTAGAAGTTCATAAGAATCCCAAAAAAAGAAACTCAACTAAGAAAACAAGATCATCCAGCTCCACATTGGAGGCAAACCTTCCCGAATAAGAATTTCTTAGACTCATCATCTTGGTTGATATTTTTCTTGGGCTTGATAAGGGAATGGGCTCCTTCAGTAAAAGAAAGATCTGTCAGAAATGATCAAATACACATGGAAAAAAAAAGCAATCAATTGGATTTAAGCCATACATGTATTAGATCCCAACCTCCTTGTGGGTGAACTGATAAGAATAATGGTTTTTGCATATCAGCATTATAGATCTTTACAGGTTTACCAGGAATGAGAGTACCCTGAGAGCAGGTAGTGCTTTCTCCACCCTCTTTACTAATAACAGCAAATTCAGCAGTAAAGGGGAGGAAATTTGTTATAGATAAAGGTGAACTTATAGTGAGTTTCCAATCATGTATGGGATTTGACTGAATATCTTTTCCAATTTGTGTGGCTTGTATGCTTAAACAAAACCACAAACCCTGGTCCTTATCTGAAGAAAGCTCACTCATTTCTGAGCAATATAAAAGCTCATCAGCTTCAATAAGTGCAGAAATACATATTTCTGAGGCTTCAGAATTATCTAAGTTCTCTTTCGGCACATATTTGTCTACTACAGAACTCCAAGAATACTCTTTTGATTCATAGGAAATTTCTGGCCTCAACTGTAAGACATAAGAAACCACAGGATGCACAAAGCAAGAGAGAGGCAGAGGAATAAGATGACCTGGTTCGAGTAGTCCAACGGGAATCACACTGTCTGTGTCATACGATGTGTATTTTCTACGCCTAATCCATCTTCTTTGTCTTGCATAATTAATGACATTTACGTTATCTAATGATTCAGGCCATTTCAGATGCTCAGTATCAGGTGCATAAACCCAGCCATCAGGAGTTTCTGTTGAAGTTGCATCAACCTGCCATTCATCAACCCATTCCCAACCATCTGGCAAACTAGCACTTGGCGATTCCTGCAAAAAATAAAAACAATAAGACAACCAAACTGAACCCTCAAGCAAGCACCAAAGAGATAAATAAGTGCATGACTCGACAGTCAGTCTGGGATTGATAATATTGAAAGTTTACCTGAGACTGAATCTCCAACCGCCATCCAAAGTTCAATACCCAAATCACAACTAGCAAGAAAAGTGATTAGATCACTTCAATGTTTATTTAACTATTAAAGACCAGCCCTTTAGTTGAGTGGCATTGCCTCTCCTCTTCAAAATAAAAGGTTAGAGGTTCAAATCTCAAATCTAATATATATATATATATATATATAATCCAAAGTTCAATACCCAAATCACAACTAGCAAGAAAAGTGATTAGATCACTTCAATGTTTATTTAACTATTAAAGACCAGCCCTTTAGTTGAGTGGCATTGCCTCTCCTCTTCAAAATAAAAGGTTAGAGGTTCAAATCTCAAATCTAATATATATATATATATATATATA